TCCTCCTCCTCCTCCTCCTCCTCCTCCTCCTCTTCCTCTTCCTCCGCCTCCGCCTCCGCCTCCGCCTCCGCCTCCGCCTCCGCCTCCTCCTCCTCCTCCTCCTCCTCCTCCTCCTCCTCCTCCTCCTCCTCCTCCTCCTCTGGCTCTTGGGCCGTCTTGGGCCATCTTGAGGCCATCTTAGGCCGTCTTGGGTGAATCTTGGGCCGTCTTGGAGGCATCTTGGGGCCATCTTAGCCGTCTTGGAGGTCATTTTGGCCGTCTTGGAGGCCCCTTGGGCCCTCTTGGGCCCGTCTTCGGGGCCTCTTGGGCTGTCATGGAGACATCGTGGAGGCCTCGTGGGCGACATTGGGGGCCTCTTGGGCCGTCTTGAGCCGTCGGAAGGCCGGAAAAAAAGCAAATGCCAAAATCCATCAAAAACCAACGCAAATTCGATGATGTTGGTTTCTTCGGCCCCTCCTGGAGGACCCCTTGGAGACCTCTTGAGCTGTCTTGAAGGCCTGTTGGGGGCCTCTTGGGCCGTCTTAGGCCATCTGGAGGCCATCTCAGGCCGTCTTGGGTGCATCTTGGACCGTGTTGGAGGCATCTTGGGGCCATCTTAGCCGTCTTGGAGGCCATCTTGGGCGTCTTGGAGGCCTCTTGGGCCATCTTGGGGCCCTCTTGGGGCCGTCTTGGGGGCCTTTGGGGTCGTCATGGGGCCATCTTGGAGGCCTCGTGGGCGATCTTGGGGCGATCGTGGGGGCCTCTTGGGCCGTCTTGAGCCGTCAAAGCCCGAAAAAAAGCAAATGCCAAAATCCATCAAAAACCAACGCAAATTCGATGATGTTGGTTTCTTCGGCCCCTTCTGGAGGACCTCGTGGAGACCTCTTGGGTTGTCTTGGAGCTTGGGCCATCGTGAGGCCATCTGAGGCCGTCTTGGGTGCATCTTGGGCCGTCTTAGCTGTCTTGGAGGCCATCTTGGGCCGTCTTGGAGCCGTCTGGAGCAAGAGAACCCCTTTGCAACCACCTCTGGGCAATCTGGAAGATGTTTCCGGGTGGCTGGCGGCGGGACGGGCCGAAGCCCCCGGGGGATTCTCTTGGAAAAAACCACAAAAAAAAAAAAAAAAAAAAAAAAAAAAAAAAAAAAAAAAAAAAAAAAAAAAAAAAAACTAGCACGCCAGGCACCCCTGCGATGAATCGACAGGGGGCGGCGGATCCTAGTGGCCTTCTGCCCATCACGCCACCGTGCCTGGATTGTGGGTCAGAGGCCTCTTTTATACATGTTGGGGTGTCGGGAGCCTCTCGGGGGCCTCTTGGAGGCGATTAGGGCGCCTCTTGGGGGCCTCTTGGGGTCTTTTGGCGGTCTCTTGAGGCCTCCTGGAAGCTTTTCGGGGCTTCTCGGAGCGCTTCTTGGGCCTCTTGGGCCATCTTGGAACCCTCTTGGGCCGTCGTGGGGCCCTCTTGGAGGCGTCGTGGGCTGTCTTGGGGTGGTCTTGGGAGCTCCTTGAGCCGTCCTGGAGCGCCGAAAGACCGAAAATGCGAGATGGCGGAGGCCTTCTCTTGGGGCCATCTTGGGCAGTCCTGGAACCATCCTCTGGCGCCCTGGAGCACTCTTGGCCTCGGCAGTGTGAATATGGCGTCCTTTGCAAGAGTTTAGGTCCTCGGAGGCGCAAAGATTGCATAATTTACCAAGGTGTGTTGCCTCGGGGACGCAAGGGTTATGCAATTTGCAAGGGTTTGTGGCCTTGGGGGCGCGAACATCAAGTAATTGACAAGGGATTGTATCTTCGGAGACGCGAATATCGCGTAACTTACGACAGCTGATTGCCTCGGGGACGCCTACAGTGTGCAATTTACCAGGGTTTGTGGCCCCGGGGACGCGAATCTTGTATAATTTACGATGGGTTCGAATCTCATGCATTTTTACGTGTCCCACGCCCCCCAGGGAATTCGGAGCACCCGATCCGAGGTAAATTGCCAGTTTGGGACTCCCCCCCGCGCGGACTTCAACAATTTACAATAGGAAGCAGAAATCAGGACTGTAACATTGGAGACTTGACACTGCAACTGGCGCAGGGAGCAGCAACTTCGGCCTACAGCTTGACGGCCCCACAAGGGGGCCCGGCGGATTTCGAGCACCCAGAAAAGTATCGAAACGGCGTCTGCCCGACATGCTAGCAAAGGGCCCGACACAAGAAAGCCATCAGACTTGGGTACTTCCCTGGTGCTCGCAATTCTTTCTGGTGATCAAGGCTAAAGTAGGCTGGAGCAGCATAACCCAAGAGGCCCCCAAGACGGTCCAAGAGGACCCCGAGTCGCTGAACGATCGCTCCAAGACGCTCAAGATGGCCGCCAGACGGCCCAAGAGGCCTCCAAGACGCCCGAAGAGACCTGCAAGAGGCCTCCCAAGAGGCAAACATCACTGATTTGCCTTAGGTGCTGGAAAGATTCTGGCGCTCTCGCCCTTTCGGCTTCCCGACGCTCCAGGACGGCCCGAGAGGCCCCCAAGATCGCCCCAAGGCGGCCCCTGAGGCCTCCCAGAGGGTCCCCAAACGGCCCGATATGGCCCCGCCCCAGAGGCGCCCAAGGTCGCCCCAGGGGCCCCCAAGACGGCTCGCTCCAAGAGGGGGCGCCCCGACAGGGGGATCAGCATGGACATCTCGAGCTCTCGGCCCTGGGAGGCCCCCAGGAGGCCACAAGGGGCCCCCAAGAGCCTGCCGAGCCCCCCCAAGAGGCTCCAAAGCGGCCCCCAGGACGCCCCAAGAGGCCCCGAAGAGGCTCCCAGGAGGTCCCCCAGAGGCTCCCCAAAAGCTCCCAAACTGCCCCCAAGAGGCCCCGAGAGCGCTCCCGAAAAACACCAGGAAACATCCCTGAGGATTCTGTCCCGCAGCCCAGGCACGGTGGCGGAATAGGCCGAGGGCCATTAGATGTATGTGTACATTGTTGTTCGAACATGCGGACAACGCACTGTCATACATGGTTGAATTCAGCAACATGACTGGCATTCGTCGGTAATGACCGCGAGGAGCAGCTTGACCAGGCTCGATCTGGCCCACAGACTTCGCTGCAGGGGAGACGAAAGCGGAAGGCACAAGCTGCAACTGAAGAATCGATTGGGATGCTGAAAGCTGCTCAGCTTCCGTGACGAATTACGTATACTCTGCACGATCAAAAGTCCACTGTGAAAGTACGCCGCACGATCTGAAAAATTGCGCTGCGGGTGACAATTAACCCTTTGTTCTAAAATTCCGAGTAGCTGCACAAGACGGCAAAGAATGCGACGCTGAGGCCCCTCAACGAAGCTGCGCGCTCAAGCGCCAACAGCCTCGGGTGGAACCTCACGCGCATCGCTCGCGGATTGCGGCTCCTTCGGCGATCCCTGCTCCTTCGTGGGCATATTGAACACTGGCGAGCTGCCCAGCCGGCCGAAGGCGAAAGAGTAGCCACCGCCCACGAAGACGGAACCTGCGAAGATGTTCCCGAGGGTCACCGGGATGAAATTCCCCCAGAGACAATCCAGCACTGACACGTCTGCGCCGGCCATCATCCCCATGGGGATCATGAACATGTTGGCTGGGATATGCTCGAAGCCGATGGCCACGAAGCAAGAGATGGGGAACCAGATGCCAACCATCTTGCCAACCATGTCCTGCGCCTGGCCCTGCAGGAACACAGCCATGCACACCAGCCAGTTGCAGCCGATTCCTTTAAGGAAGGTGACCCCAAAGTTCTCCTTGATCTTCTTCTCCGCCACCTTTCTAGCAAGCTGAGCAGTCAGGCCCACATTCAAGTTACAGGAGGTGACAAACCCAGCGAAGAGCAAGGCACCAAGCAGATTGCCAACCCAAGCCAGCGCAAAAGTCCTCAGGATCTGCATCCGGTGCAGCTTGCCTTCAAACACAGCGGCAGGCACGGTCGCCGCTGTGCCTGTGATCAGCACCCCACCTGTGAGAAGAATGAGCAGCAGGTTCACGGGGAAGAGCGCAGCGAATACAAATGTCTGAATGGTAGGGTTGTCCTGGGCTGCGCTGTCCAGCCCGCCCGCCACCACCATCGACAGCATGCCCCCGAAGCCAATGTAGCAACCCGCGTAGAAGGACTGGTGGAAGATCTTGATGGACGAGTCGCCGCCCATCGACACGCCCTTGTCCACCATACCCATGAAGGCCTCCTTCGGGGTTTTCACGATTGACATAAGCTCCGGCATGGTCGCGTAACCTATTCCGGAAAAGGGTCGCCTCCGGCACTGGTAAACTTGGGGCGAGAATTGCGCAAAGGCAAAAACAGTCAGCGCAGATCGTGCGCTAGACTTGGGCCAAACTTGAGCCACAATGGCTACGGATTAGAGAATGAAGTGTCTATGATGTATATGTTCAATCCATACGACCACCCTTTGGTGATAGGGAGGTTGACAGGGGGAACCAACTGATGACACATGTGATGCTTGTGTTGGTAGCAGAACGTAGCATAGCATAGCACGTAGCATAGCATAGCGAGTAGCATAGCGAGCGAGTATCATGGCGAGTACCATAGCGCGTAGCATAGCGATTGCATGAGCGAGTGGCATACCGAGTAGCATACCGAGTAGCATTGCGAGTACCATAGCGAGTTGCACAGCGAGTAGCATGGCGAGCAACACAGCGATAAGCGTATAGCAAAACGCATAATTAGCATCGCGAGTAGCATAGCGAGCAGCAACGCGAAAAGCATGGGATACCACGGAACACCCGCGCTCCACCGTTGGACACCACGGGACACCACGGGACACCAGCGGGACACCCGGAGCCACCGCCGGCCAACCCGGGGGGAGGAGAGGCATTGAGCCCAGTTTCGCCCTATGGCTAGGACGGGATCATGTCTCTCGCCCGCACACGCAGCTTCGCCTCGCCCGCCCGCACGGCACGAAAGCGAAACCGACTTCCCGGCGGGGGGCTCCCGGGCGCGGGCGGGTACGAACCCCCCCAAGATGCCTGGGCCCCCCTGGGTGCGCACCGCCGGTGCGGCCCTGCACGGAACTCTCCGGGGCGCCCCCGGGTGCGAGCGTCCAGGAGCGCGTATGAGCCCCCAGGTCGGGGGTCTTCTGACCCGGGTCCATCCAGACCCGGGTCAGCAGGAGGCCAAAAGACTGCCATGCAGGAAACAAAAAACTGCAACGCTGGTCTTCGCACACCCGGGTCAGCCCATATGCGCGGCCGCCTCGCGGCCACGAGCGGCTCGCCAACCAGGGTCAGCCCAAACTCTCGGGCTGTCTCGGAGCTCTCCGCGAGCCCTCTTGCGCGGCTCTTGGGGCCCGTTTAGGGGCTCCCAGGAGCTCTCTCGCGCCGCGTTGGTGCTCGCTTGGGCCGTCTTGGGCTCCTCCGGAAGCCGTCTTGGAGCCCTCCTGAGCCGTCTTCTTGGGCCGCCTCGCGGCCACGAGCAGCTCGCGGAGAGCTCCGAGACAGCCCGAGAGCTTCGCGAACCCGGGTCAGCCAGAGGGGGTCTTCGCAGGCTCCTGCAGGAGCCGGTGCGCACTGGCTGACCCCCGTTGGCACTGACCCCCGTCTCGAGGCTCCCAGGGCGCCCCGGGGTTCGGGAGCGGCCAAGAGGGGGGGTCCAAGAAGAGGGGGGGGGGCAAATCATGACCGGCGGCATGTGCGCGGCCGAGCGGGGGGGACAGGGACGTAATGAAATAAGAGGAGGCGCCATGAAATCTGGGGAAATATCATGACCCCCGCCATGATATCCACCCCCCCCCTAGTCATCACCCCCCTCTTTTCCGCCCCCGATGGGTGCGAGCGCCCGGGGAGCGCGTGGGAGCCCCCCGGGAGCGCGCGCGAGGGCCCGGGGTGCTGAGGGGTGCTGGGGGAGGCTCGCCCTGCGACGGCGGCGGCGTCGTGGGCGGCGTGGGCGACGACGACGACGACGACGACGACGACGACGACGACGACGACGACGACGACGACGACGACGACGACGACCAGACGACGACGACAGAGGACGACCAGACGACGACGACGACGACGACAGACGGCGACGACGACGACGACGGCGACGACGAATGCAGAGATCTCTGGAGCTTCTGGAGGTCCTTGGAGGTCTCCCACGGACTCTCTCCCCCACTCCCCAGGAGGCCCCCCCACCGCGCTCCTGGCGCTGTACTCCGCCCACCCCTGGGCTCCCCCCGCTCCGCCAGGAGCCCCCGCCTCGCTCCCACAGGACCCGATGCCAGCCCCCCCTCGGGAAAAGGGGGAGAGGCGGAGACTCCGGGTCGCCGGCGGCACCCAGTGCGCCCAGTGGGAAGCCCAGGGGGGTGGTCGTACTGCGTGGCACTGCAGACATCTGCGTCTGTATGTGTAGAGCGACGCATATCCGCCACCGTGCCGCTGGGCACGGAGTGGGCGCGTCCTCAGCTCCTCTGCCCACTTCCCTGAGCCTGTCCTCAATCGGAAGAGAGTTCTTAAGGGGCCCAAATCCTAAAATTCTCGAAGTCTCGTGGGCTTGGCGCGGTTCCTCGGGGCTCCGGGGCATCTTCTTGCACTACTGTCTGGTGCCCAAGATCGCCCCAGGACGGACCAAGAGGGCCCCAAGAGGCCCCCAAGACGGTCCAAGAGGGCCCCGAGTCGCTGAACAATCGCTCCAAGACGCTCAAGATGGCCGCCAGACGGCCCAAGAAGCCTCCAAGACGCCCGAAGAGACCTGCAAGAGGCCTCCCAAGAGGCAAACATCACTGATTTGCCTCAGGTGTTGGAAAGATTCTGGCGTTCTCGCCCTTTCGGCATCCCGACGCTCCACGGCGGCCCAAGAGGCCCCCAAGATCGCCCCAAGACGGCCCGAGAGGCCCCCAAGATCGCCCCAAGGCGGCCCAAGAGGCCTCCCAGAGGGTCCCCAAACGGCCCGATATGGCCCCGCCCCAGAGGCGCCCAAGGTCGCCCCATGGGGCCCCCAAGACGGCTCGCTCCAAGAGGGGGCGCCCCGACAGGGGGATCGGCATGGACATCTCGAGCTCTCGGCCCTGGGAGGCCCCCAGGAGGCCACAAGGGGCCCCCAAGAGCCTGCCGAGAGTCCCCCCCCCCAAGAGGCTCCAAAGCGGCCCCCAGGAAGCCCCAAGAGGCCCCGAAGAGGCTCCCAGGAGGTCCCCCAGAGGCTCCCCAAAAGCTCCCAAACTGCCCCCAACAGGCCCCGAGAGCTCCCGAAAAACACCAGGAAACATCCCTGAGGATTATGTCCCGCAACCCAGGCACGGTGGCGGAATAGGCCGAGGGCTATTAGATCCGTCGCCCCCTTTTGCTTTAGCAAAGGGGTGCCTGGCGTGCTGGACCCTCTCGGTTTTGGTTTTGGCTCTTTTTCCAAAAGAACTCCTCCTGGGGCTCCGGCGCGTCCCGCCAGGGTCCCGGGATTTTTGTCCAAGGACCTCAATTCCCTACTTTTCTGCCCAAGACGAGCCCAAGATGGCCTCCAAGATGGCCAAGATGGCCCAAGATGGCCTCCAAGATGGTCGAAGATGGCCTCCAAGTCCGCCCAAGATGGTCCAAGACGGCCTCCAAGACGGCCCAAGAGAGTCCAAGACGGCCCAAGACGGGCCAAGAGGCCCCCCAGAGGCCTCCCAGACGGCCCAAGAGGCCTCCAAGAGGTCCTCCAGGAGGGCCCGCAGAGGCCAGAATCATTGATGTTCCTTAGGTTTTTTAAGGATTTTGGAAGTTGTTTCTTCTCGGGCATTCCGACGGCTCAAGACGGCCCACGAGGCCCCCAAGATCGCCCAAGAGGCCCCCAAGAGAGCCCCATGACGGCCCAAGTGGCCTCCAAGATGGCCCCAAGAAGGCCCCAAGACGGCCAAAGAGGCCTCCAACACGCCCAAGATGGCCTCCAAGACGCCCAAGATGGCCTCCAAGACGGCCCCGAAGCGCCCCAAGAGGGTCCCCCGTTGGCCCAGAAAGGCTCCCAAGACGGCTCCCGACGGAGTCAGACGTGCCAGGAACCCACCAAGATGGCCGAAGTTGGCTCGAAGCTGGCCTCCAAGGGCCCAAGAGGCCCCCAAGAGGGCCTCCAGGAAGGCCAGAAGAGGCCAAAAACATTGATTTTCCATAGGTTTTTGGCGGATTTTGGCATTTCCTTCTTTTCGGCCATCCGACGGCCCGAGACGGCCCAAGAGCCCCAAAAGATCGCCGAAAGATCGCCCAAGAGGCCTCCAAGACGGCCAAGATGACCTTCAAGACGCCCACGTGTTCCCCGAAGGCTTTCCAAACCGATTCGGGGAACACATGGTCCGATGGCTTGGCAGGTCTGGCCTCAACGGTCGGCCACATAGGCGCTTCCACAAAGGCAGGGGGCGGCGGTGATTCGCCGTAGGCGTCTTCGATAGATGTGTACATTGTTGTTCGAACATGCGGCCAACGCGCTGGCATACATGGTTGAATTCAGCAAAATGACTGGCATTCGTCGCTTGACCAGGCTCAATCTGGCCCACAGACTTCGCTGCAGGGGAGACGAAAGCGGAAGGCACAAGCTGCAACTGAAGAATCGATTGGGATGCTGAAGGCTGCTCAGCTTCCGTGACGAATTACGTATACTCTGCACGATCAAAAGTCCACTGTGAAAGTACGCCGCACGATCTGAAAAATTGCGCTGCGGGTGACAATTAACCCTTTGTTCTAAAATTCCGAGTAGCTGCACAAGAGGGCAAAGAATGCGACGCTGAGGCCCCTCAACGAAGCTGCGCGCTCAAGCGCCCAAAGCCTCGGGTGGAACCTCACGCGCATCGCTCTTGGATTGCTGCTCCTTCGGCGATCCCTGCTCCTTCGTGGGCATATTGAACACTGGCAGGCTGCCCAGCCGGCCGAAGGCGAAAGAGTAGCCACCGCCCACGAAGACGGAACCTGCGAAGATGTTCCCGAGGGTCACCGGGATGAAATTCCCCCAGAGACAATCCAGCACTGACACGTCTGCGCCGGCCATCATCCCCATGGGGATCATGAACATGTTGGCTGGGATATGCTCGAAGCCGATGGCCACGAAGCAAGAGATGGGGAACCAGATGCCAACCATCTTGCCAACCATGTCCTGCGCCTGGCCCTGCAGGAACACAGCCATGCACACCAGCCAGTTGCAGCCGATTCCTTTAAGGAAGGTGACCCCAAAGTTCTCCTTGATCTTCTTCTCCGCCACCTTTCTAGCAAGCTGAGCAGTCAGGCCCACATTCAAGTTACAGGCCGTGACAAAGCCAGCGAAGAGCAAGGCACCAAGCAGATTGCCAACCCAAGCCAGCGCAAACGTCCTCAGGATCTGCATCCGGTGCAGCTTGCCTTCAAACACCGCGGCAGGCACGGTCGCCGCTGTGCCTGTGATCAGCACCCCGCCTGTGAGGAGAATGAGCAGCAGGTTCACGGGGAAGAGCGCAGCGAATACAAATGTCTGAATGGTAGGGTTGTCCTGGGCTGCGCTGTCCAGCCCGCCCGCCACCACCATCGACAGCATGCCCCCGAAGCCAATGTAGCAACCCGCGTAGAAGGACTGGTGGAAGATCTTGATGGACGAGTCGCCGCCCATCGACACGCCCTTATCCACCATACCCATGAAGGCCTCCTTCGGGGTTTTCACGATTGACATAAGCTCCGGCATGGTCGCGCAACCTGTTCCGGAAAGGGGTCGCCTCCGGCACTGGTAAAACTTGGGGCGAGAATTGCGCACAGGCAGAAACAGTCAGCGCAGCTCGTGCGCTAGCCTTGGGCCAAACTTGAGCCAGAATGGCTACGGATTACATCGGAAGATGGGGGGGGAGATCGCAGTGGAACGGCGACCCCCAACCAGGAAATCGCTTCGTCTCGTTCGTGTCGTGCGTGCGGGCGAGGCGAAACTGCGCGGGCGCGCGAGAGGAACGAACCCGCCGCTGCCAGGGCGAAGTCAAGACAAGTGGTGCTCCCCCGCCCGCCCGCTCGTCTGGCGGTGGCTCGCGGTGTCCCGCGGAGTCCCGTGGTGTCCCGCGGTGTCCCGTGGTGTCCCGTTGAGTGAGATCGACAGTGAGATCGATAGTGAGATCGATAACGAAATCGATAGTAAGATCGATGTGGTGCCCCGTGGTGTCCCGTGGTGTCCCGTGGTGTCCCGAAAAGTGAGATCGAAAGTGAGATCGATAGTGAGATCGACAGGTGTCCCGTGGTGTCCCGTTGAGTGAGATGGATAATGAGATCGATAGTGAGATCGATGTGGTGCCCCGAGGTGTCCCGTGATGTCCCAAAACTTGAGATCGATAGTGAGATCGATAGTGAGATCGAGAGGTGTCCCGCGGTGTCCCGTGGTGTCCCGTGGTGTCCCAAAAAGTGAGATCGATAGTGAGATCGATAGCGAGATCGATAGTGAGATCGATGTGGTGCCCCGTGGTGTCCCGTGGTGTCCCGTTGAGTGAGATCGATAGTGAGATCGAGAGGTGTCCCGCGGTGTCCCGTGGTGTCCCGTGGTGGCCCGTGGTGTCCTGTGGTGTTCCGTTGAGTGAGATCGCTAGTGAGATCGATAGTGAGATCGACAGGTGTCCGGTGGTGTCCCGAGGTGGTGTCCCGTGGTGTCCCGTTGAGTGAGATCGATAATTAGTGAGATCGATTGAATCAGATGTTGGTTCTCCCCCCTCTCCCGCCCCCAATACAACCTCCGTATCACCCGAAGGGTGGTCGTGGAGGTCGGAGGTTGGGGGGTGAGATCGAAGTGGAACGGAGAACCCCCCAACGGGAAATCGGTTTCGGTTTCGTGTTCGTGCGTGCCGTGCGTGCGGGCGAGGCGAAGCTGCGTGGGCGGGCGAGAGGAAAGTCTCCTGTGGCTGAGGCGCGGCCGGACCAAATGATTCTCCCTCCGGCAAGCGGTCGCCCGCGGTGTCCCGCTTGTGGCTGGGTCCCGGCCGGACCAAATGATTCTCCCTCCAGCAAGCGGTGGCCCGCGATGTCCCGCTGGTGTCCCACGGGTGTCCCGGTGTCCTGGTGCCCTGCTGGTGCGAAAAGGATAGTGAGACCGATGACGAAATCGATTGCGAGATCGATAGTGAGATCGATAGTGAAACCGATAGTGAGATCGATCGTGAGATCGATAGTGAGATCGATAGTGAGATGAATAGTGATATCGATTGTGAGATCGAGTGATATCGATAGGGAGATCGATAGTGGGATCGATAGCGAGATCCAGAGTGAGATCGACAGTGAAATCACTCGAGTGAGATCGATAGTGAGATCGATCGGGTGAGATCGATAGTGGGATCGATGGTCCCAAGAGCGAGCGGCAACGCAACAATCACCACTGTTGCCCATTGCTGGCCCCCCTCCCCCCCAACCTCCTTATCACCCGCAGGGTCGTCGTATAGGTAATTATGTGTATCTGATGTACATATAATCTACACGACCACCCTTCGGGTGATAGGGAGGTGATGAGGGGGAACTAACTGATGACACATGTGATGCTTGTGCTTGTGTTGGAGGCATAGCATAACATCACGTAGCGAGTTGCACAGCCAGCGAGTATCATAGCGAGTAGCATAGCGATTGCATGAGCGAGTTGCATAGCGGGTAGCATAGCATAGCGATTAGAATAGCGAGTAGCATAGCGAGTAGCATAGCGAGTAGCATACTGAGTAGCATTGCGAGTACCACAGCGAGTACCACATCGAGTAGCATGGCAAGTAGCATGGCGGGCAGACTAGCGAGAAGCATAGCGAATAGCATGGCGAATAATTAGCATTGGGAATAGCATAGCGACTAGCAAAGCGAAAAACACGGGATACCACGGAACACCCGCGCCCCACCGTTGGACACCACGGGACACCACGGGACACCGGCGGGACACCCCCGGGCCACGGTGGGCCAAACAGGGGGAAGAGAGATATTGGGCCAAGTTTCGCCCTAAAGCTGGGACGAGATCAACGCTCTCGCCCGCACACGCAGCTTCGCCTCGCCCGAACCCGAAACAGACTTCCCGGTGGAGGGCTCTCGGATGCTAGAGGGTACGCAACCCCCCCAGGACGCACAGAACCAGCATCCCTTAAAACTCTGACCTTCCCAGGCAAGGTGGCGGCATGGCCCGAAGGCCATTATATATATATATATGTTAATATGTATACACACATACAACCATACATCCATATATACATACATACATACATACATACATACATACATGCATGCATACATGCATGCATGCATGCATGCATGCATACATACATACATACATACATACATCCATACATCCATACATCCATACATCCATCCATCCATCCATCCATCCATCCATCCATACATACATACATACATACATACATACATATATACATACATACATACATACATACATATATGCATACATGCATACATGCATACATGCATACATGCATACATGCATACATGCATACATGCATACATGCATACATGCATACATGCATACATGCATACATGTATACATGCATACATGCATACATGCATACATGCATACATGCATACATGCATACATGCATACATGCATACATGCATACATGCATACATGCATACATGCATACATGCATACATACATACATACATACATACATACATTAATACATTACATATGATACCGGAGCAAAACCCAATCAGGGCTATCAGGCTAGGGGGCTATAGGGCTATAGGGCTATAGGGCTATTGAGCTATAGGGTTATAGAGCTATAGGGCTATAGACTTGTAGGGCTGTAGGGCTATTGGGCTATAGGGCTATAGGGCACCCCCGGGCACCCCTGGGCACCTCCGGGCACGCCTGGGCATGCCTGGGCACCCGGGCACCCGGGCACCCGGGCACCCCGGGGCACCCCCCGGGCACCCTGGCGTGCAGCGAAAATCGGCGGCCAACCTCACCCCCAAGCACCCCTGGGGCACCCGGGCACCCGGGCGTGCAGCGAAAATCGGCGGCCACGCTAACCTAACCATATGAATCCGCTCGGACCCCTACAGAGGCAAGCTCTGATTGGGGGACATATATACATACATACATGCATGCATGCATGCATGCATGCATGCATGCATACATACATACATACATACATACATACATACATACATACATGCATGCATGCATGCATGCATGCATACATACATACATACATACCTGCCTAACTACCTACCTACCTACCTACATACATTAATGCATACATACAGACAAACAGACAGACATACATGCATACATACGTACATACATACGTACATACATACATTCGTACAAACATACATGCATGCATACACTTATACATATACATATGCGTATACATATACAAATACGTATACATATACGTAGACCTAGACATGTACATACACATGAGCATATGCCGATACAGTTACATATACATGTACATATACGTATACATATACATAGACAGGTACATATACATATACACATACATATACAAATGCATGTATATATCTATATATATATATACGTATACATGTGCATTGGCATAGACATACATATATATATATATGTAAATACATATATAGATATATGTGTGTAAACATGCATGCATATACGTATGCATGCAGGCATGCTTATAGTCAGACATGTATACATGCATACAGGTGTTTCTGTGTACACATACATCTATAATTGTACATACCCAACTCTTTGATATATGTAGAGAGAGATAGCTTCATGCACACCTATACATACATCTACACATCTACATATCTCAATTGCAATCCAAACAGATCGACCTGTACCTCTGATACGTCAGCACCTCGATTTACGCATTTGTCAAAATCTCCTGAACTCCTTATCGCTCTCCGTCCCCATTTCGGCATGCTACCTCGCAGCGCTCGGCCACGAACTGCACCGGCCAAGGGGGCGGGGTGACTGGGCGGGCACTTCTCGTGGAACGGGGGTGCAGGACGGGAAGGAAGGGCGGACGCTGCTCCTCCACCCGCCCGCTCGAGGCCGCCAAAGAGACCGACGGTCTGTTCTCCTCCCCCTCCCAATTCGAGTCCCCTCCTCCGTCTCTGTCCCGCCTGGGCAGCACCCTCACCACCGCATCGAACTGAAACCACCTGTGGCATCACAGAAGGGTGCCAGAGGCCCCCATGGAGGGGTGCCAGAGAAGGGAAAGGATAAGAAAGCAAAGGGAAGGGGCTCAACCCCCAGCAAAGGAGACGGGGCCCCTGGCCCGAATGCGTCGGTCTGCCTTGGTCACGGCGGGCGAAAGGTATCGTGATGTGGTTCCTCTGGAGGAGCCCGCATCACGACAGACAGACCTTTCGCATCTTTCTGCATCTCCTCCTCCTCCTCCTCCCTCTCCTTTTCCTCCTCCTCCGACTCCTCCTCCTCCCCCTCCTCCTCCTCCTCACCTTCCTCCTTTTCATCCACCTCCTCCTCCTCCTCCTCCTACTTCATCCTCCTCCTCCACCGCCTCGTGCTCTTGGGTGATTTCCCTGTTTCCTCCTCCTCCTCCTCCTCCTCCTCCTCGTCTCCTTCCTTATCTATTATTCCTCGTCCTCCTCCTCTTGGTCCTCCTCCTCCTCGCTCTGCCGGGAACTCCCCTCCCTTCTCATCCCCCTCATCCTCCGCCCCATTCGCATCCACCTCCTTCTCCATCCTGCTCATCCGCCATATTGTCCTCTGCGGTACTTCCCATGTTCCATCATCCTCATCGTCTCCATCCTCCTCTTCACCTCCTCCTCCTCCTCCTCCTCCTTCTCCTCCTCTTGGTCCTCCTCCCCCTCCTCATCCTCGTCCTCCTCCTCCTCCTCCTCCTCCTCCTCCTCCT